AACATGGCTCCCTACCCAGTGCTGCAGAGGCGATCAGTGTGAATCGCACTACCGTGGCACGACGCATCAGTCAGCTGGAAGCGGCGTTGGGCACCAAACTGGTCGAACGCATGGGCAGAGACCTGGTCCTCACCGACGCGGGGCGCGAGGCTGCCGCCACTGCAGAGATCATTGACGGCGAATTTCAAAGCCTGCAGCGGCGGGTTTTTGGTAGAGATCAGCAGCTGGCCGGAGCTATTCGTGTCACTGTCACGCCTGCCATCGGCAATCTTATCGCCAGCCAGTTAGCCCACTTCAGCACCCTTCACCCTGAGATTCTGTTGGAAGTAAGCGCCACCAACGCATCGGAAGACTTGGAAATGATGGAGGCGGACGTGGCACTGCGCCTGACCTCTAAACCTCCGGAAAACCTGGTCGGGCGCAAATTGGTTAAACCCATGGTTGGCATTTATGCCTCGGCAGATGCGGCCCAGGAACTGCAAGGGCAGTCAGTTGTCGATGTGGTTTCTCTACAGTCCGCCACCGGCAGTAAGCTGTTCAGCTCCGACAGCATGACCGTGTGGCTGGAGACAACCCTGAATGCCAGATCACAGGCTGCACTACACAGCAACTCAACAGATTTTATTCGCGAATATGTCGCGGCCAGCAAAGCGGTTGCCGTGCTGCCCTGCTATGTCGCCGAAGCAGATCATCGCCTGACCCGCATCGGTGAACCCCGCTCAGAGGGGTTCACCGAGCTATGGCTGCTTTACCACCCTCGACTGCGCCGACTGCAGCGCTTTCGTGCGTTCACCAGTTATCTGACAGACGAGTTCGAAAAGCTGCGACCAGTGTTTGAGGGAGAGCCAAAGCCAGCCTCCCTCTAGGTTTACCAGCCAGGATCACGGATAATAGGCAGCAATTGAAAACAGACTAAAAGGGAAACTTTCATGGCAGTGCACACAGTAGTACTGATTCCTGGCGATGGTATTGGTCCGGAAATCACAGACGCCGTGCTTGCGGTGCTTGAGGCTGCGGGCGCACAAATCGAATGGGTACGCCACCAGGCCGGTATCACAGCGCTGGAGACAAGCGGTGAAGTGCTGCCTGCCGACACCCTTGAAGCCATTGAGCACCATGGCGTTGCCCTCAAAGGTCCCTGCACCACGCCAGTAGGAGAAGGTTTCTCATCAGTTAACGTACAGCTGCGCAAAACCTTTGATTTGTATGCGGCAGTCCGCCCGGTGCGCAGTTTACCCGGGGTTAAAACCCGCTACGAAGATGTGGACCTGATCATCATCCGGGAAAACACGGAAGGCTTGTACAGTGGCGTAGAGAACGAAGTCACACCCGGCGTTGTGATGAGCATGAAAGTAGCAACGGAAAATGGTTGCGAACGCATTGCCAAATGGGCGTTTCGTTTTGCCACACAACGCCAGCGCGAAAAAATCACAGTCTTCCACAAAGCCAACATCATGAAAATGACCGATGGTCTGTTTTTACGCAGTGCGGAATACACCCACCGCCACGATTATCCGAATATAGAGTACACCAGCGCTATCATCGACGCCGGCTGCATGCGACTTGTGCAGGACCCTTCCCAGTTTGATGTCTTGTTACTTGAAAACCTGTACGGCGATGTGATCAGCGATCTGTGTGCCGGCCTGGTTGGTGGCCTGGGTGTCGTACCCGGCGCAAACTACGGTGAAAAAGAAGCTATTTTCGAAGCTGTACATGGCTCTGCGCCAGACATTGCGGGCAAGAACATTGCGAATCCATTGGCGTTATTGATGTCGGCTGTAATGATGTTGAATTATCTTGCCGAGACCACCGAAGACAATAGCCTGCTGGACGTGGCCGCCCGCATTCGCGAGGCCTATGACGAAGCCTTGCAAGCCGGCGAAAAGACTCGCGACCTGGGCGGCAACCTGGGCACAGCTGAATTTGCGCAAGCTGTCATCAAGCGCATCAAACACAACTAAAGGCTCTACATGAACACATCCGCCCCTCAGAATACGCAGATGCTGGTTGCAAAAAATGACCTCAGCACCTTCAAATTTGAACACAGCCCAAAGTTGGCTGCCGCAGACTTAGTCGACGGTCAGGTTTTACTGGAAGTTGAAAACTTCGCCTTGACTGCCAACAATATTACTTATGCGGTCGCCGGCGACAGCATGGGTTACTGGCAGTTTTTTCCAGCGCAGGAGAACTGGGGACGCATCCCTGTATGGGGGTTTGCCCACGTCAGCGCATCCAAGCACCCGGACGTTACTAAAGGTGACCGGGTTTATGGCTATCTTCCCATGGGCACACAGCTGATTATTCAGGCAGAACGCGTGAGCGACAAACAGCTGATAGACGGTTCTGCGCATCGTGCCGGTCTGGCGCCGGTTTACAACCAGCTGCTACGCGTAAACAACCCACCTGATGCTGATGCCGATGCCCTGCAGATGCTGTACCGGCCATTGTTTATGACCTCCTGGCTGCTCGATGATTTCCTGGCACATAACGAGTTTTTTGGCGCGCGGCAGATCATTCTCACCAGCGCCTCAAGCAAAACCTCTTTCGGCCTGGCTTTCATGCTTGCTCAGCGCGAGGACATCAAAGTTGTTGGCCTCACGTCGCCTGACAATGTCGATTTTGTGAACGGCCTGGGTTTCTACGACCAAGTGGTCCCTTACGACAGCATAGCCACTCTGGATGCCGCCACCCACAGTGTCATTGTTGACATGGCTGGCAACGGCAGCACGTTGGCTGCGGTGCATAATCACTTTGACAGCGCGCTGCGTTACAGCTGCCTGGTGGGCGCGACGCACTGGAGCGAAAGAAGCGGCGCACAAGATATGGCAGGTCCTAAACCCGAGCTGTTCTTCGCTCCAAATCACATCAAGGAGCGCAGCGCTCAATGGGGTCCAGGGGGGCTGGAAAATAAGTTCGACGCGGGCTGGCAGGCATTTACTACCAAAGTCGGCGACTGGGTCACCGTGGAGAATTGCCGCGGCGAAGAGGCGGTTGGCAAACTCTACAGCAAGCTGCTTGCTGGCCAGACGCCACCTGACGTTGGTTACATTGCCAACGTCGACCCGTCCTAGTCAGCGCCACTCATTCTGATGGCAACCTCCCTGAACGGACAATTTGCAGCGTTATCACAACAGCTGAACCAACTCATCAGCCTGCTCGAAGAAAGCGAAGATCGCTTCTGGGTGGCTTACATAAAACGCGGTTTAAAGCAGGTTGATGAGAACAAGCTGGCTGGTGCTACATTCATACTGGGCTGCTACGGTGGGGAAGATACTTTTTCTGATGTGGTCATTGCCCGGCACTGGGAGGAGGAAAACCCGTTGAAATTCAACAACGCTAACGCGCGCCTCGGTCAGCTGCGCAACGAAATTTTCACTACTGCCAGTTCGATAGCCAGTCGTCAGCACTGGTAACAGATTTTCCTGACATGAACGTCCACCAGGAGAACGTGCGCCAGATGGCACTTGAGCTCATGCAGGCGCAAGGCCTGACGCAATGGCGCTTCCGGCTCGATCATGCTCGTCAGCGCCTGGGCGCCTGCCACTTTCAGAGCAGGGAAATCACGCTCTCTAAACATTACATCGCGCAGAACGATCTAACAGATATCCGCAACACAATACTGCACGAGATCGCTCATGCCCTGTGTGGCCCTGGCATAGGTCATGGGCCGCAATGGAAAGCAACCGCGCAACGTATCGGCGCGTCCACCGATGTCACCCATGACACCGCGCGCATGCCCAACCACAAATGGCTGCTGGAATGCCTGCATTGTAAAAGCATCGTTGCCCAACGACATCGTCGAGTACTTAAACTTGATAAAGCTCGATGCCGCAGATGTGGCATCGAGCGGGGTCTGCTGAGGTGGGTGTCCGCGTCAGCTAAGGGCTGACTTCGTAATACAGGTTGCTCGGATCTTCAAAGTCGTGCAGTTGAAATTTCGAGAAACCCGCTTCCGTCACCATATTGCGCGCAACTTCAGGGTTAAAGCCCAAGGTCCCCAAGCCAGCGCCACCTGGTTCAGATAAAGCGGATGACATACAAGCTGACACAGAAAAACCGTAAAACATAGCCAGCAGCGGATTACGCATATTGACCTTGAAATCCGGATCGCTGCGTATGTCTTTGATCAGCCAGGTACCATCCGGCTTCATGGCCTGACGGATGGCATGTATGACGGAACCGGGCGCTGTCATATCGTGCAGACAATCAAAGGTAATCAAAAAATCATAGGTTGGCGTAGCAGGTAGTTTTTCACCGCCGGCAACAAATAACTCCACGTTTTTCAAACCGAGTTCCGCGACCTTGTCACGACAGCGATCTATGGCATGGTTGCTGGGATCGTAACCGTGGAATTGAGTATTGGGAAAAGCCTGCGCCATAGCCATCAGCGCAACACCACCGCCACAACCGACGTCAGCGGCAACCCCACCTGCGGCCAGTTTGTCGGCAACGCCGTCGAGGGCAGGAATTATTTTGGGCACCAGCTCCTGTCGCGTCCAGGGTCCTAACATGCGTTCAGTACGATGAGCGGCATTGGGACCGAGTTCTTCATAGGACAGGCCGATGCCGGTTTTGAACGCCTCAATCAGTTTGTCGACGGTTTCTGGCGGTGCAGCACCGGAGAATGCCCCAGCGGCAAACGACAGACTGTCCGCCTCGTTAGCCAGTACTGCCGCCCCTTCCGGTGAAAGCTCAAACAGATCACCGTCATGATACTCAAGCAACCGGGCAGCGGCCTGACCGCGCAACCATTCAAGCAACCAGCGTTCCTGCAGACCAGTGCTTTGCGCCAGTTGCGCAGCTGACACTGCACCAGCACCTTCCAGAGCGCGATACAAACCAAGGCGATCACCGATCTGAATCATCAGCGAGACCATTTCCCCCTGTTTGTACGACCACACTGCAAATGAATAGCGCTTCAGCGCATCTGGATCTACTTCCCGTAACGACATAACTATCTTCCCCTTATCTCACAGAATAATTTTGTTAGACCAGCGTGTTCAGCCCGCTTGTTTTACCGGCGGTTCACTTTCCAGCGAATCCCACATGACTTCATCCGGCACCGACATAACGCCTTCATACACACCCGGTGGATAGTTAGTCATATGCGGTCCGTCGCCGGACAGCGACGGTTGCGCGACACCACCTGCCTGATCGGCAAATGGTGCCGGTTGTTTGTAACGCGCCAGTTCCTCCGCGGATATGCCAGCCAGCTCCACCACTTCCGGATCAATCCACAGATCTGCATTGATCGGTTCTTCAGAATACGACAATTCCAACGAGAGATTTTCTGGCCCGGCAAAATACATGGAGACACACATACCGTGATTGACCGGACCCATAACCGGCACACCTTTGCTGCGGAGGCGGTCACGCATCGCCATGAGTTCTTCGTGGTTCTCCACTTTGAACGCCAGGTGTTGCATGGTCCCACGGGCGGAATTTGCGCCTGGATTGCCAGCGTGGGTAGCACCGAGGTGTACTTCAATCCCTTCTATGTCTGGATTGCAGACAAACGCGATGGCACTTTCGTCATTCAGCCTGAGAAAGCCATGCCAGGTATTTTCAACGCCGTGCATCCAGTACAGCGCCTGCAGCTCCATACCTAATTTGTCAGTGAAGAATTCAATCTGTTCTTTCATGTTGGCGGTGCAGATGGCCAGATGATGCAAACCTGCTACTTTATTCATAAACCCACTCCCAGAGAAAATAAAAAGGTGTCGATGACACCAATATAGATTGGACCACTATAAATTGAACCAAGATGGCTGGAAACTGCCAGCATTGAGCCTCATATGATCGCTCGCTCGCGAAAGGCATCAATCTGCGCATCGCTGTAACCCAACCCGCTCAGCACGTGTTGTGTATCGGCACCTAATTCCGGCGCTTCTGCCTGGGGCTGTAAAGGCGTTGCACTCATGCCGATCGGCGTACCCACAACGGCAATATCTTTACCGTCACTTGCTGAAACATTCTGCAGATAACCATTTTTCCACATACCAGGATCGTCCGCCGCCTCGGCATAATTCCTGACCGGGGCATAGCGCACCCCCATTTCACGCAGCACCTCACACCACTGCGCGGTGGTCTTCTGCTGAAACGCAGGTGTCAGCTCAGCAAACAGGAACTGCATATCTTCCCGGCTTGCCAATAAACCCTGGAAGCGAGGGTCCAGGGCAAGTTCGGGTTTATCCATCGCGATATAGAACGCATCACGCGCGTCCGGGGACACACCAATAATGCCGATCCAACCATCTGCCGTGGCAAAAATGCCATACATTCCACGCAGTAAAGGGTGACCACCGTTCGACCGGCCGGGGACTTCACCACTTAACAGAAAGTGACTGTATTCAGCTGCCTGCGCCCACACCTGACCGCCCAGAAGCGATACATCGATGCGCTGCCCTTTGCCGGTGCGGCCCCGGCTGACCAGCGCCGCAAGGATGCCAGCAAGCATGTTCTGGGATGCAATATGATCTGCAATGGTGACGCCTACTGGAGACGCCGGTGCACCATCATGGCCGATGGTACTGATCAATCCGCCCGCACACTGTCCGGCAAGGTCTGCACCTTCGCGATCCGCATCTGCACCTAAGTGCCCGAAGGCGCTGCCCGCCGCCCAGATCAAACCAGGGTTCACCGCAGCAAGATCCTCGAACCCCAAACCCCAGGCTTCCATGGTGCCGGCTTTGAAGTTACTGAGAACAATATCAGCCTCAGCGGCCAGCGCTTTGAAAATCTCAACCCCTTCCGGAACCCGCAGATCCAGCGTCATACTCTTCTTGCCACGGTTACAGGCGTGAAAGTAGGCGCTGCGTGAATCGTCTTCACTGATGAATATCCAGCGTGACAGATCGCCGACACCGGGCAGTTCCACCTTGGTCACCTCTGCACCCATGTCGCACAGGGTAGCTGCCGCTTGTGGCCCCTGCACCAGTTGCCCCACATCGAGAACCTTGATGCCTTCAAGTGCGCCAGCCATACCCTCTTCCCCAAAATGAATATTTAACAATATCCTCGCTCATGGATAGACTGCGAGCAACCGCGCTGGACTGGAATCTTCTGCCATGAAAACCTTCGATGTCATCATCATCGGCGCCGGTGTGGTCGGCTGTTCGATTGCGCTGAGCCTGGCTCGCGCCGGCATCAGAAGTCTTAACGTGGATGCACTGCCCGCACCGGGTTACGGCTCCACCAGTTATTCATCCGCCATCATCCGCCCGTTCTACTCACACATCACGGCTTGTGCCATTGCCCATGAATCGCGAGCACGCTGGCAACACTGGTCCGAATTTTTAGGTACAGCCGATCCGCTGGGACTCGCTCGTTATGATGAGACTGGCGGTGTGATACTTGTTGCCGAAGGCACAGAATCCGACTACGCGGCAAATATTGACGCTTTGCAGGCGGTTGGCGTTGAGTATCATTGGTTATCTGAACAAGATCTGCAGCAAAAGTATCCCAGCATCCAGTTACAGAGCTTTGCGCCACCGCGGCGCATCGAAGACGATAACTTTGGCCAGAGCAATGGTCAGATGATCAGAAAAGGCATCTGGCTAGACGCCTGCGGCCACGTTAACGACCCACAACTGGCCACACACAATCTGTATCACGCGGCAGAGCGAGCGGGGGTTGAATTCAGGTTTAACACCCGGGTCACTGAGATCACTCAGTCCAACACAAGCACTGCAGGGGTTGTATTGCACACGGGCGAAAAGATCAGCGCGCCCATTGTCATCAACGCCGCTGGCCCACACTCAAAACACATCAACCTTATGGCGGGGATCACCAACATTGAGACCCGGGCGGAACGTCATGAAGTTGCCTACCTGAAGTCACCTGGGTCCAACATGAACCAGCAGGGTTTTCTGGTGGATCTGGATACCGGCATTTACCAACGCGGTGATGGTGCCGATGTCCTTATCGGTTCAGCAGACCCAACCTGTGACCCGGCTGACGTCGCAGATCCGGATAACTACAGCACCAGCTTAACAGGACAATGGACACAGCAGGTGTACCGCGCGGCATTAAGGTTCCCTGATCTTGCCATCGAAAACACCGCGCGGGGAACAGTTGGCTTGTACGATGTATCCAAAGATTGGATTCCGATTTACGACCGCACCGACCTGCCCGGCTATTTTGTAGCGATTGGTACCAGTGGTAATCAGTTTAAAAATGCTCCGGTCATCGGCGACATAATGACCCGGATCATCACTGCCGAAGACCCGGACAGTGTGTGGCTCACGCTGCCCAACGTACAGCGTGAGGTGGACTTATCCTTCTACTCACGCCTGCGCGAACCACAAAACACAAAAAACGTCATGGCCTGAAAAATTCAGGTCCGAAAGGCTAGCGTCTGACGGGCTTAAGCCTGCTTACCCAGGGCCGGCACACCTTCTTCCAGTGACACCCAGTTCTGCTTGCTGTCACTCCACACATGAAAAAGCGGCTTGAATGAGGATGTGTCATCTAATGTTCCTGTCTTCAGAAACACCGCATCCGGCTGGGCACCGAGGGCTGAATAGATGGGCGACCCACACCGGCCGCAGAAAAATCGATCAACCGAATTGCCAGAGTCAGTATCAGTATCCTGATACAACGCAGGTTCGCCACTGACAAGGTGGAACTCTCCTTTGGGCACGGAGGCCAACGTGGAAAATGCAGAGCCCGCCTGGCGCTGACAGTTTTTGCAATGGCACACCCCCGTGATCTCCGGGGTGTTGTCGATGCTGTATTTGATATCGCCACAAAGGCATTGACCTGTTACGGACATGAAATTCTCCTCTAGAGATAAATTAGCGCGCGGTATAACCACCATCTACGGGCAGCACCACGCCATTGATGAAACTTGCTGCGTCGCTGGCGAGAAAACTGGCAACAGAGGCTATTTCTTCCGGCTGGCCAAGACGACCCATGGGATGCAGATCTGTGAGATAGGCTTCTCCCTCCTCCAATTCCCGCAATTCTGCGGTCATCGCGGTATAGATGTACCCCGGCGCAATCGCATTCACGCGAACGCCGTAACGTCCATAATTCACAGCAAACTGTTTGGTCAAACCAATAACACCGTGTTTCGCCGCCACATAAGCACCAGCACCACCTTCATCTTCATTGCCTGGATGAACTTCAGGTCCGGTCAGCCCAACCAGACCAGCAACAGATGCTGTATTGATGATCACACCACCACCATTGGCCGCCATATGCGGTGCTGCATGCAAAAGCCCGTAGTAGACGCCGGTGAGATTCACAGCAATTGTCTGATGCCAGTCAAAACCGCCACCCACGCCTGCGTTATTGAACAACACATTGAGCTTGCCCATTCGCTCCACGGTTTGTGCCACGGCACGCTCGACCTCGGCACTTTCCGAAACGTCCAGACCGATGCTGTCCGCTTTGCCGCCGGCCTCAGAAATAGCTGCAACAGTGCCTTCAGCAGCTTGCAAATCTAAATCTGTACACATCACGGCAGCACCGTTAGCCGCCATGTTAATCGCGCTGGCGCGTCCAATCCCACTACCTGCGCCGGTAATCAGCGCCACCCGTCCATTCAAATCTATCACTCGCTCTCCCCCTCTTGGATGCGTATTTATGACTTCAGCCTGCTCATTCGCAGCAGAGCTTTCAGCTTACCAGGGTTTGGCGTTAAGCTCCCAGCAAGACTTTTCGGAGAGACCCATGACCCGTTTGATAAAAAAGCCCTACGCTGAGCTCACACCCGCACAACAGGCTACCTTTGACGAAATTGTTGCCAACCGGCCGGTTAAACCAGCAGACGGCCACATAGGTGGACCTTTTGATGTCTGGCTACGCAGCCCGGAAATGGGCAAACGCCTGGTTGGTCTGGGGGGCTTTTTCCGCTTTCGCACCAGCGTTGATCGGCGTTACATTGAACTGGCCATCTTAGTCACCGGTGCCCACTGGCGCGCTCAATTCGAGTGGTTTGCTCACGAACCCATGGCACGCGAAGCGGGCGTCCCAGAAGCGGTCATCGCCGCTATCAAGGCAGGTGAGACGCCTGAGTTCGAAGACAGCGGCGACGAAGCGGCTTACGTCCTGGCCAATCAGTTACACAACACCCGCAAACTCAGCACTGCAGCTTTTAATGACGCGGTAACGCAGTTTGGTGAAACTGGTGTCGCTGAACTCATCGGCCTGTGTGGTTTTTACGGCCTGGTTTCAATGACCCTTAACGGCTTTGACGTCGAACTTCCCGAAGGTGCCACCTACCCCTTTGAACGCGACTAAGGTGTATCACTGGCATCGTGCAGCCATTCCAGCGCCAGATGACTCAAAGCCTTCATGCCAACCGGCAGCGCGCTGTCATTGACGTAGAAGTACGGTGAGTGATTTGACGCACTTTGTCCCAGGGCTACGCCTTCTTTTGCTACGCCAAGGCCAAAAAACAGGCCCGGGATCTCGTTTGCAAAATAGGAAAAGTCTTCAGCACCGAGGACCGGCTTGGCGACTATTGCCTGGCCATCTTTAGCCACGCGGGACAGTACGGGTGCCATACGGGCAGTCAGCGCAGGGTCGTTGTAGGTTACCGGGTAGCCTTCATGGACCACCACATCCACTTCTGCGCCAGCACTTTCGGCCACAAGCCTGACAGTTTTCTTTATCCGCGCGTGTACATCCGTGCGCATCTGCGGATCCAGCGTACGGATGGTACCGGTCATGACAACTTCTTCCGGAATGATATTGCCCCTATTGCCCCCATTAATTGAACCAATAGTGATGACCGCAGGCGCCGTTGTGAGGTCCAGCTGCCGGCTCACAACATGTTGCAGGCTGTTGATGATCTGCGCGGATACAGCAATAGGGTCAACACCGGCCCAGGGCGAAGAGCCATGTGTCTGGACGCCTTTCACCGTAATAGAGAGCCCATCAGATGCCGCCAACATACCCTCGGGGCGATAGCTGATCATGCCCGCAGGCACCGGAAACACGTGCAAACCAAAAATGGCACCCGGCGCATACGGACCTTCGAGCACGCCTTCTTTGATCATCAGGTCAGCGCCGCCCTCTTCTCCTTCAGGGGCGCCTTCTTCGGCGGGCTGGAATATAAACTTCACAGTCCCTGGAATGTCCTCGCGCATCCCGGCAAGAATTTCCGCCACACCCATCAGGATAGCCATATGCGCATCGTGACCGCAGGCATGCATGACACCGGTTTCGCGACCGCGCCACTGTGTTGTTACCTTTGAAGCAAAAGGCAGGCCGGTTTTTTCGGTCACCGGCAGTCCGTCCATATCCGCACGAAGGGCAACCACAGGGTAGTCGCTGCGGCCTTTCAGAATACCGACCACACCCGTGTGAGCAACGCCGGTTTGTACTTCATCAAAATTCAAAGCGCGCAGGTGTTCCGCTATCTTGGCTGCAGTTTTAAACTCGCGGTTACCCAGTTCCGGATGTGCATGCAGATCGTGGCGAATCGCAACGACCTTGGATTCAATTGCAGCAGTACGTGCCGCCACCGTATCCTGCCAGGACTCCGCATAGCCCAGGGCTGGCGAGAGCAAAATAGCCAAACCCACCCACAGTTGTAATTTTGTCATTCCCTTCACTCCCCTAATTTCCGCTAAACACTGGCAGTATGCCAAATGATCTCGTTAAATGGATCGAAATCTCATTGAGCAGCCCATGGATCCCCACCTGTTAAACGGCTTAAAAGTCATCGATTGCGCCACCGTGATTGCCGCTCCCGCAGCCGCGGTCATGCTGGCGGACTTTGGCGCCGAAGTGATCAAAATCGAACAACCCGGCGCCGGCGATATGTTGCGCATCCTCGCAGATATTCCGACAACACCTGATGCACAAACAAACTGGTTCTGGCAGCTCGACGGTCGGAATAAAAAGAGCCTTGTACTGGATCTGAAAAATGCAGCAGGCATAGACATT